AAATGTTAGCTTTTAATTCTTTCCTGTCTCTCGTCTCTCTTCTACTTCTTTTTGTAGACCATCAGTATCAGAAGATGACCTGCGCATGTTGTTTGCTAATACTGGAGGCACTGTGAAAGCATTTAAATTTTTTCAGTAAGCATATTTTCTTTGAAACTTCATTTAAAATGAGGGAGCAGCTGTCTGGTAAGAATAGGGTTTATATTAAAACTTTCTTGTATTGTTTTCGTATCTTAATTTCATTGCTTTGTTCCAGAAGAGATCACAAGATGGCCCTTCTTCAGATGTCAACAGTAGAAGAAGCTATCCAGGCTTTGATTGATCTGCATAATTACAATCTTGGAGAAAATCATCATCTGAGAGTTTCTTTTTCCAAATCAACCATTTGAAGTGAGATATCAAAATAATAAGGTTGTATCACATTGTTTAGTGTTGTCATCTATGACTGTTCGGGAAAGCGGGGACCAGAGATGGACATCTGTTTTTCATGCTGTTATCATTCCTTGATTGTTTATGTATAAATAAAATGAAAAAGGATTTGCAAGGAAGAAGCAGTGATATTATCTGCTGGTTTTGCATATGTTTATGAAACCATTTTGTTTAAAGGGGATTCTGAGGAAATCCCATAGTTTTTCAACTTAGTTAACATACGTGCCTTAAAGAAGGAAAACTTAGAGTTGCATTTACTAGTTAAAAATTTGGTTGTTTGGGGCACATTATATGGGAATTAATAGGTGCAGTCCAGTGAACGTTAGGCGTGCATTTATTCCATTGAAATCAAAGAATTAGAGCATTGATTTCAAGGGGAATTTGTTGCACCTAACTTCAGCAGGATTATGCCAAATATGTATTAGGCAAGAGTGTGTAAAAAGGGTTAAGCTTTTTTTTCTGTTTGGGATTTATCAGCTTTCCATGAAACATTTTTAAAGCAAAATCAGTTGCTCTTCTTGAAGAGAAATGCAGCGTATTATTCTTTCTCTCAATAAAAATGGCCTTTGTATTTCAGATTTAGTTTAGTTGAAAATATAGGCTTTAGTCAGAACTACAAAGATGCAAAGAGTTAATTTCTTTAAAAGTCTAAAAGTGATTCTTCTGTTTTTTTGTTAGTTCCTGTGGCTCTTAGCCTCAGTGGAAAAAGAGTTGTATAAAGTCTTAACCTTTTTGTAAACACACTCTGGGGCGAATCATATAAATGTTGGCACTAAGTAATGTCTTGTTTGTGGCTGAATATTTTTTGTAGATGTTTTTTGAAGTTGACATAACTTACATGCATTTAAATATATATTGCCATTTTTAGTTAGTAATTACAATTTGAAATATGGTTGTGGATTTCTGAGCATGTTCAGACTGGTCTAGCTAGTTCAGGAGTTGGTGCATGTATTTCAAGGATGAAGAAAATGTATTGCAAACTTTTGCAGAAAGATTAATAATTTTTGGCAGTTTTCTTTATAAAAAAACAAAAACAAAACTGACAACCAGGTGGGACCAAAGTTTATGTGCCTTTAGTCTTAATTTACCTTGCATTGTAATATTCAGTTTTAATAAATCTCTTCAAAATATTTTATATCTAGAAATGGATCTGCCTTTACTATAAACATGGCTCAGAATCTACAGGAAAAAAAAAATCATTTGGAAACAGTTCCTCTATCAATCTGGGCTGTTTTACTGATTCTGTTCAAATGACCAATACTTTTTGCAATTGATGTATTTAGTTCCAAGAGTCATAGATTATGTTATCTATGTAGAAAAAGGTCATGTATATTTTCTATTAGTTGAGTTTTTACATCTTTAGAAATGTAATATTTCAGTATAGTTTGAAAGCGGCACAATTAAAAATTAATTTTCTAACAAAGTTGGGAGGTTTGATGGTTGTTTAATTTCTTCTTATGTGTACGCTGCTTGCCTCTGTAGCATGCTCAATAAACACTTCTGTAGCTCTGTATTCACCTCTTCTGTCTTTCTCTGCTGCCTTTTCTCTCTTTTCTTCTTTTTTCCCCACTTCCACTGTGCTTTTGAATTCATGTTTATTCTCTGTCAGGGTGGGAAAAGCATAATAATCTGATTTTTTTTTTAACTTTCGGATTTATGCTATATAAAAATCAAATGCTGTGGAAAGAAATAACACCTTGGACAGCATAAATACTTTGTACATTTGGAAGTCTAACCACTTCCCTTATAGAAATGGATATTAAACATTTCCCACCCTGTTATATAACCTATAGCTTTAAAGACATAACTTTTTATCGTAGCTTGTAAGTTCTATCTTTTTTGTTTTTAAAATAGATTTATGCACTAATTAACTTTTCAGATTTGCCATGCTTCTGCTGCAGTTTCATCTTCCATTTTCTGTGTCTGCTAAAAAAGCCTTTCTACTTATCACAGGTATTACGTGGGTTAAACTAAACTGTCAAATTGCTCAATGAAGGGATGGGTAGGAGCAGAAAAAAACAGAGGGCAAATCTTGTCAACTGCTAAACACAACTAAAAGGTGCTGAATATGTTATCCTCCTAGTTTTACACCAGTTCAGATTCTAATTGTATATGTATCACCAATTATTTTTATGAGAACTACATTTAAAGGATGATTTTTGCTTTATCTAATCTAAATCTCAGTACACAATCATGTATGATTGGGATTTATTAATTTCACTGGGGTCTAGCTAACAATTTTATACTAAAAATGAACCAAATCCATGTTTACGTAATGGTATATTAATGACTTGTTTGAGGCTCTTCAGGAAACTTGAACTACTAATTTAAATTCAAACATCATTTTAATGAATCATTTTACATGAACTCAAAGACAATATCAAGGACTTTTAAACATAATTATTCCCTAGGCACATGCCAGAACTCATTCACTTGTGTAGGAAGATATAATCCCAATTAATAACGTAGCCAGTCTTCATATATGCCTGTGAACAGAATTTGAGGAATAGCGGGGGGGGGGAGATAATAAATTCCCTTTACCAAAAATGATGCAATATTTGCATTTAAATATCTATTTTAAAAGTGTTTTGTACTTCATTTTTTTTACCTTTCAAAAAAAGATTAGGTGATTTATAATTAAAAAGCAGACATTAATGTAAACTGTACATGCCGTTCAAAGAATGTACTATAAAAGGCATCTTTCGTCATTTAACATATTTGGAAAAGCAGTTCTCTCACACGACAAACTGCTTTGCATTATGCAGTAGACCAACTTGATTGCTTATAGGAGAAAAGATGAGTGGGGTACTGCAGAGTCACTTAGCTTTGCAAAAGATGCAGAGCGATCCCAGGGCATTCATTCTGCGGTATTCCTCTTAGGCAGACTCTCGGCAAAAGTGCCCAAGGCTGTAAAATCTGGAGATGGATTTCTGAGGTAAAAAGCATACAGTATGTACGATTACTGTTAACTTCCACTTTTTATTCCTGCTGTTTCAGCATTTTTATTGGACTGTGTTCTTTTATAAAAAAAATACAAGTTTTATGTTTATATTTATCTTCCTTGAAACATAAAAATAAAATAGATAAGCATCTGAAACTAGGGTTCTGGAAATTTAACAGAAGACTTAAGTGTGCCAAGAACTCTTGATTTGTCTTGCTAAATTTTTTTGCTTTCAGAAGGTTTAAAAAAAAAAGCACAAGAGAATGAACTGTGGTTTCATTGATTCTAACCAATAGGAAGAACTCTAATAAAGGAAATAGAAGTAGCTGGAACAGTTGAAGGAAAATTAAAACTGAATGTGGCCCAACATGTTACATAATATATATAAGATGATGTGCCATGAACTGATGGAGCTCCTAAAAAAAATTACCAATTGCAGTAACAAATCATTTCAATAAAGAGGGGGGGGAAATGAAGACAGTAAAAAAAGTGAAAGGTGTAATAAAAGTTTTTGAAAGCAAAGAGTGTATAGAAGAAGATGGGTCAACAGATCATTAAGGGAAAGTGTATACAGGAAGCCAAGGATTATAGAAAATAATGACACAATAGTTAACAGGCCAGCAGTTGTTAGTGGATGCCAAGAACAATAGTAACATAACAAAATGTCATCAGAAATGTTCAGAATATGATTAAAAATAGTGTGTATAATAATAAGCCAGTATATCAGTTGCTTAATAAAGACACCATAATATTGATAGGTAGCAAAGAAAAGGTCAAACCATTGCTTACTAAATTTGCATATGTTACAAAATGGTAAAGCAAAAGTCAAAATGGGTTAGAGAAAAAGACTGAATGAGCTTAACAGAGACAAATGTAAATTTATTCACTTAGACACATGGTTACACAGAAGGGGATATCTGGCTGGACAGGAGTATTTGGTGAAAAAGATGTTGGAGGGTTGTTAACTAAAAATCAAGTAGGTTATCATCAGTGTCATGCTGCCAATTGTAAATTTAGCAGAACGAACAATATCATTCCCAAATTACAGGAGATCATCATTCCACTTTATTTTCCATTGGCTAGACATCAGCTCAAGTGCCGGTATTATAGCAGTTCTGGCAGGACAGTTTAAGAAGAATTCAAAACATTGGAACAGATTCGCAGAAGGAATTTTCAGAATAATTAGGGTAAGGGAAACAAAGCTATATGAAGAAACTGAGCATGTTTAATTTTGAAAAGCCTGAAAAGGGAATATAATACCAGTCCTCAAATACTGGAGAAGATACCACACAGGGTGTCAAGATCGATCCTCAGTAGTTCCAGAGTGCAGAACATGAAATTTTACATTGGCTGTACTTCATTGAGAAAACAAAACAAAAAACAAAAAAGGTGCTTGTGTTTCATTAGAACTTGTGGTTTGACCTTAGAAAACAGTGAGAACTTAGGAAAAAAAAACCTTTGCTCCCTCACTTTCCTTCCTGTGACTACAAGAATAATTAGGATGTCAATTCATGCTCACATCTACCAACCTCTGAATCTTTGGAGAAATCAGCCCTTATTTTATTTTTAATAATTATAATAATCTATAATATTTTATAGAAATTATATGGAAGCAGGTTCCTGTGACATTTGATATGCTCCTGAGGAATACCTATAAAGAGAATGCGAAGTGGGACCGGCTTTTAACTTTTTAACTTTTATCATTCTTTCAGGTATCCTCAGAAGTGCAGTCAGGCAGAAAGTGAATTTTAATTAGCCCACAAACCTAAACATTTCGTTCAAAAATCTGTTAAAACCTCATAAACTTTTAATGTACATTGCCTAAGCCTTATTTTCAAAAGCCCAGATTATCTCAACCTGAAAGCTTTACTCTGCCTAAGGTAACACAAAATGAATCTTTCTCTTCCCCTGGTCAAATCAATACACTAGTCCAGGGGTAGGCAACCTTGGCTCTTTTATGACTCGTGGACTTCAACTCCCAGAATTCCTGAGCCAGCATGGCCTACCCCTGCACTAGTCAATGTAGAATCTCAGTTGCTTGGAATCGGGACTCTTATCTATTGCTGGGAATGAAATGTCCATCAGGTGGTACTAATGCTTGCTCTATATTTAAGGACTATAGTCGATGTATAACTCCACTGTAAGTCTGAGTCCTCAAGGCTTTTTGAACGCCGCTTCTCCTGGGGTTCATCCAAGGTCTTTTCTAAGAAACGAACAAATTGCAGAGCTTGGCCTATTAAGGCAAACTCTGATGCCAAGAATGGCTGACGTGCAGAATCTGCCTTGACCATGCTTCTCCACTCCTGGGGGTTGAGGAGGCCCGTTGAGTGCCTTGCCATGTTGGGCAGGTGGAGTTCCACTACGTAAGGACAGCCAGGCAATCAAGTGTAACTTCATTCACGCTTGGTTTTATTCACACACTTAATATGTGCCTATATCTGTACTAATGCATGCTCTGATTCCTCTTGGTCACCATTACTATCCCTTTTGGATTCCGATAGAGTACTACAGGAGACAGATCCTTTTCCTCCTGACTTTTGCTTTCAGCCTTCCCGGATTGCTAACAACAGAGAGCAGAAACCTAAATGAGTGCCATTTAGCACCATTAGCTTCTCCAAATGCTGCTAAGAGCCCTTCCCCAAATACTGAGCCATTCTTCCACCTCACCAACATAATAACTGGGGTCGCCATAGCTACTGCAGGAAGGCTAGGCCAATTACTGCATTCAGGTAGTCATTAATTGCAAGAGACCCAACCACAATGTCCTAATAACATTTTCTGAAACAAAACAAAACACTTAGAACAGCATGCTTTGTTTAGTCTTCAAAACAAAATCTTTGAAATGTGGATTCTTGGATCACAAAATACTCAAAATGCTTTCATATTTTAATTATTTTGCACACACCTCTTCGAGTTGCTCCTCATCACATGATAAATGTAAACAGCTTATAGACAGTTACGCTTTAAGAAATGTGGATTACACAGTGGAGAATTGGACTCATTGGCCTAAATAGTCTCCTTCAACAGTGATTCTACCAGTCAAATGTATTCATACTGAACACACAAATAAAAGTTTACTAAATGTAACTTATTTTATTACATACATACCTACTGATGACACTATTTCCTTTCAGAGTGTAATAAACTTTATGAAGAAAAGATTCAGAAATAGTAAGGAACCCCCCCCCCACGCACACACCTCCATAGAGATAAAAGTTTAAGAAATCTGACTTAAACCCTTCACAGTCCTTTCTGTACAGTGATATCCTTGCAAGGCACCCTGTCTTCCTCCACATCTGTACACTGATTCACACATTACATTCTGCATCTCTTTTTGACAATCTCGTCACTCCATCCAAAAGCAACTTTCTTGGTCTTTCATCTCAATTCATTCCTTTTTCTTTCATATGTTTATTTTGCAATTTGATCCTTAATGTTCTTTATTCACCTTTTTATTCTTCACC